GCGCAAGTTAATGGAATGACTGTAAAATAACTAACTCTCAATTCATGGATTACAGTTGACTCGCTAAACCATCAATAACAAAATCAATTCGTTAATCCCCTATTCATTCTGATCCACTCAAATACAAAAATAATTGTTATCACCAATTAAAACACGCTCTCCCAAATTTAATCGGTGACACTATTATATATATATAATTAAATTAATTAATTGATTGAAAAAATTTGAAATAATATTTATTTTTCTTTTCCTTTATTCCTTTATTATTTTAATTTTCCCTATTTTTTCCTCCTAATTTTTCATAATGTTTAATACTTCTTTCTTCCTTCCTTCACGTTTTCCTATATTCCTTCATCTAATCATCATCTTGTCCGATCAACTAATTGATTAAAAAATAATTATCAATTTTTTAAATATTAATAATAATAAGTAATAATTAGACTTTATATAGTAAATAGTAAATAAGTAAATAGTAAATAGTATAAATTTAGTTCTTCTTTTATCCTTTCTTTTTTGAATTTACATGCATTTTTTCCATTTATTGTTTAAATTCACAAAATCAAATCACTATCTAAAAAATCAAACAAACAAATCAAATCAAAATTAAACAAAAAAATAAATAAATAAACAGCTTTTTTTTTATGATATTGAATATGCTTTTGAAATTAGGAATATAACTAAATGTGGGGCGTTTGGGTAACATTGAGTGCAGAGCCCCTTTTTTAATTGGCAAATTTTTAATTTGAATGCACGCACGATCCCCGTTTTATCACAGAAGCAGGGTTGGCATTGGACAATGCTGTACATTGTCCAATGCATCTTGTGGACATAATATTAATATGTTGGACATTGTCCCAATACATATCCAATGTCCATTTTATTCAATGTGGTTGTGAAGATAACTTAAGCTCAGGTATCTAGAAATTTCAATTTAGTCAAGATTTTTATTATCATAATTATAATTATGTTTGATAGGAAAAATTCTCTACATAATCATTAATGAATATTTTTTTTTTTTGAAGAAATTTTACATGAAAAAAACGATTCATTTTAATATGTCTGAAAAAAAACCCCCAAGAATAAAATGGTTAATTGAAATTCTAATAATACATCTCATCTCGTTAATTAAAGTTATAAAAAGTGCTGTCAATACTCAAGAGTAACTATAAAAAATTGATGAAATGAATATTAAAAGAATTGAAGCAATAATTAAAAATCTCAGATGCACCCAATGAAATCTTTGTGATAACTTCATAGAAGAAATTTGTTTGTGCACTTTTGAACTTCAAAGATCTTAAAGATCAACAACTTTTGTACTTTTTTTTGTGTCCCTCACCGGCATTGTTATGATTTGATTCCTTAGGGAAAAAAGTGTGTGAAACGTTTTCCGACATTGGGAATATCTTATCACACAAAAAATACATAATTGTGAACAAGAAATTTTAATTAATATTAGATAATTAATTAGGGGCAGGCTCACTCACGTAATGATATTCATGTATGAGCCTAAACAAATCTCATACGTGAAGATCATTACGTGATGAAGCCCACCTTTTATAATGAAGGAAAATTTTTACCATTAATTATATAAAAACTATGAATTGTTGTTGTTTGGTGGTTGACTAGAAGAGAACGAGTAATCTTGCAAAATGTCATCAAATGGATCTTTGGGAAGTGATAATTTTAATGGCATGTTTAAAAACGTCGGGTCAAAATTTTGCACATCGGCTTCATGTTCAATTGGTGGAATGTAAGGTGATGGTAAACGTTTCTGATAGACGTCTTGCCAATTTATACCCATAAAATATGCATGATTTTTGATTCCTTGACTTCCTAATTCGCCGCCTCCTAATCTAACTTTTGGATCTTTCTTTAATAACTGGACCACAAATAATTTTGATTGTAAGTAATAGATTATTGCTTTTTTTAAATATATATTATATATATTTATTCACCTCACTTAAAAGACTTTTAGTTTCGTAATCCATCCAAATTGGATACTTTACATCTTTTTCCAACACATTCTTGTATATTTCATTTGAATTTTCACCTTGATACGGTGTCTAGATGTTTGTTTTAATATTCAATAAAGACATTAATATATGCATGTGTCCGAAAAAAATTTTTTTGGTGCTTTTAATTTGCAATACTTACATTCCCAGTTAAAAATTCATATAACAACACTCCTAGACTCCACCAATCCACGGGGAAACTATAGCCCTCGCCTCTGATTATCTCTGGTGCCTATTAAAATGTTCGCTTTTAATACATTCTCATATTTATTTATACACATCTTAATATTTAGAAGAAATTTAAGATTACCAAATATTCTGGTGTACCACAAAAAGTATTTGCTCTTGATGACGTATTATTTAATTGTTTTGATAAACTAAAGTCTGTTAATAAAATATGTCCATCAGCACCTATTAGAATATTTTCAGGTTTCAAATCACTAAAAACAATTATGAGTTAGGTTATTATCAGCATATAATCAATATATAAATTTTATTTTAAAATATGTATGTTTAATATTTTTTACCGATATAATATTTTAAATTGGTGTAATTCTTCAATTCCTGTTATTATTTCTGTCAAATAAAACTTACTAGTTGATTGGTCGAACCTTTTAAATTTAGCTAGTCGAGTTGCTATATCTCCACCAGGACAATAATCCAAAACCAAATATAAATTATTTGAGTCTTGAAATGATTCGTGTAATTTTACCAAAAAAGGATTTGATGTGTTGTTGGATAATTGTACAAATATGTTTCTCTCAGATCTGATATTAACTATTTGTCGTTTTATACATCTTGTTTCTTTTTTGATTATTTTAATTGCGACCAATCTTTCGTTTCTTTTTTTTTCTTTGGATAAAATAACTTTTCCTATTGTCCCTTTACCAATAACTTTAAGTAATTCATATTTCTCAAAAATATTATTCGCCATTGTTGATGATTTTATATTTTTTTTTCGCATCATTGATTTGGATTTTTCCATATTATTGATGTTTTTCTTTTTATTATTACTCTTACCACTACTAATACTGCTAGTAGTGGCAGTGGTAGTAAAAGAAATCGCCGATTTATTATCACATTCGTCGTCGTCGTTGTCATCGTCATTGTTAACATTATTAGCAGTTGTAGCAGTTATAGGTGTGATTAATTGAGGTGCAATAGATGTAACGAGTTGATTTGTGGAAATATCGGTTATTATTATCGCTTTTTTTGATCTTCTACTTCTAGTGATAGGAGCAGCAACAGTGGTAGCTGTAGTAAAAGTATTAGAAGCCTCATCATTGGTTGATGATTCTGATAAATTAGTGGTCACATCAGCTTTATCAGTTGATTTTACATTCATTTTTTTTGATCCTGTTCTTGTTGTTCTTATAGAAGAAATAGAAGTAGCTGTAGTGCTTTGTTTGTTTTGTTGAGAAGATTTAGTTATATCAACAAGAATATTAGTAGTTGAGGCTGCTGCTGCTGTTGCTAATGATGATTTAGACCTAGTTCTACTAGCTATACTGTTAGTGCTAGTTACCACCATCTTTCTTCTTTTTCTCATAATTTTTTTGTAGATTGAGTATAATTTCTGGAATAAAAATTAATAACGTTTAATTGTAAAAAAAATTGTAAAAAATTATTCATTGTTTTTTGCCTCATTTATTTCTCATTTGAAGATCAATTTACAGCTGATTTGCACAGATTTTCGCGTATTGCCTAAAATGGGAAATAACATAAATAAAAAATAATCATCTAAATCTAATAAATTAACTTTGTTTTTAATCTCTTTTAACTAAAAACATTATTATTTATTTATTATTATTATTTAATACCTGACATTATTTAATATTATTATTACTATACTTTTATCGAAAATTTATTCCAGTTATTGTTTATCTATAAATAAATATATGTGTGTTATTGAATAATCAATTATGCGTAGAAGTAACATTAAAAATTCTGAATTTAAGACACCTTTCAAGAATCCGTCTGTTATATTAACTACAGTTACGGAAACAACAACAAAACCAGCTACAATAGCACCGGCACGAGAATTTCAGCTTAAACCACGTGATAGGCTTCAATTTAAAAGAGATAAATTACCAAGAAATGCTAGAAAACGTATGAAAGTTGTTGATAAAGGTGACGATAGCGATGATTCAGATTCTTTTAATGACTTTGCTGATTTGCAACCAGAGTCTGGCTCAGATAGTGAATATGAAGATGAAGAATACACTCATAAAAATAATAAAAAAAATAATTTGCAAAATAATGTTAATAGACAACTTGGCATGAAAAAATTATCATTAACAAGGAGACCATTAGCACCATTAAATCAAAACAATTCACAGCAACAACAAAATGATAATGCATCTCCGCCAGTTAAAATTGGTTGTGGTGGAAACAAAGTTCCCAATGATTCATTTAAAAAATTGTTTCGTCCTTTCAAAATGCCAACATTTACTAGTAAATTAAATGAAAATGGTGGTGTTGATCTATTTGATAATCGACCTGTATTAGGAGGTTGGCGAAGACCAGCTACAAAAGCTTTACATGACCCAACATCTGAAAATGCAATCATATTATATGATCCCGTTGAAGAAGAAAAGATTGAGGTAGAAGAAAAAGAAAAAGAGAATAAAAGTGAAGGAGCTGTTACTAATCATGACGAGGAAGAAGATGATAGCGGTAATTCAAAAAAGATCCAGGGAAAAACTATTTCTGAAATTCTAGGATATAAACAAGTTAAATTTGATAAAGTACATGTCGTCGTTGGTATGAGGAAAAAAATTTTATATTCATCATGTTATTTTATTTGTTGAATAAATATATTATTATAAGTTATGATAATACTCACATGCATACATATAAAAGATCCATTATTGGGGAAAAAACTTAGACCACATCAAGTTGAAGGTGTAAAATTCTTGTATAATTGTACAACTGGAAAAACATTTCCTGATGCTTTTGGGTATTTAAATTATTTCAACAACGATAAAAACGATAAAAACAAATGTACCCATAAAAGGTTTCTAATAATTTACTTTTTAAATGTAGATGTATAATGGCTGATGAAATGGGATTGGGAAAAACTGTAAGAAAGAAATTTAAGTTATCTACAGCTTAATGTATTAATGTATATAGATTTATAATATATTTCTAATATATATTGCAGCTTCAATGCATTGCTCTTTTATGGACACTTTTACGTCAATCACCAGAACCTAATAAAGGTACAATTGATAAATGTATTATCGTATGTCCTTCAAGTCTTGTACATAATTGGGCTAATGAATTAGGTAATATGATGTTTAATTATTTCAAACTTTCACTTTTTATACTAATAATAATTGTATTAATATTAATGTTAATAATTTCATTATCAATTATGATTGATAGTTAAATGGCTCGGTTCAATAAGAATTAAACCATTGGTTATGGATAATAAGAGCAAAGATGTTTTGGTAAAAGATTTAAGACATTTTTCTGGTGCACAAGGTCGAATGATTACACAGCCAGGTAATAATATTAATGACATCAACAACTTTAATAATGCTTAAAATAAATATATAATTTATATATATATATATATATATAAATCAATAGTCTTGATTATTTCGTATGAGTCGCTTCGAGGAAATATAGAAGAATTAAAAAATACTGAAATTGGTCTTTTATTATGTGACGAAGGACATAGATTAAAAAACTCAAGTAAATATTTCGCGCGTGCGCGACTATGTGAAATAATAATCATGTTAATTAAATAGTAATTTTTAACCAATAATTATTTTTGTAATTATATATAGATTCTTTAACCTTTCAAACATTAAATTCCCTTAATGTCCAACGAAGAGTAATTTTATCAGGGACGCCTATTCAAGTAAATACATAAATACGCACGTTCATATAATACATAAATATTTTTATTGATTGTTGTTATTGATATTTATATTACTTATTTATATATATATTAAAACTCCAAATTCAGAATGATCTTTCTGAATACTTTTCATTACTAAATTTTGCGAACCCTGGTCTTCTTGGTACACCAAATGAATTTCGTAGAAATTATGAAAATCCAATTCTTCGCGGTAGAGATGCAAATGCCAGTGAAAAAGATAGAGAAATAAGCGACCAGAAATTATCTGATTTGTGGGGAGTTGTTAGTAAATTTATTATTAGAAGAAGCAATGATATTTTATCTAAATATTGTAAGTATAAAAGTATAGTACACAATTTCATGTTATAGCAATGATGATTAAAACTTTTTTTTAAAAAAAATAGTGCCTGTCAAGTATGAATATGTAGTATTTTGTCGATTGAGTAAATTTCAAGCTTCTTTATATAATTTCTTTATTACATCTCCCGAAATTCAAAAACTTTTACGTGGTGCTGCTTCACAACCTCTTAAAGGTATTATTATTATAATGATATATTTATATTTTCAAAAAAATATTTGAAAAGAAAACTAATCTTTTAAGTTTTATATTTATTTAGCAATTACAATTCTTAAGAAGTTATGTAATCATCCAGATTTACTCGATCTACCTAGGGATCTTCAAGGATCAGAAGAATGTTATCCAACAGATTATTCGATCAAAGAGAAGTTAAGATGCGTTAGACCAGAGTTTTCTGGGAAAATGCTAGTTCTAGATAGGTTTATTGACTTTTGAATTCTTTATTTTATTTATTGATTATATCAATAAATCAATTAATATACTTGTTATTTGTTGATAATATAGAATGTTGGAAGAAATCAACAAAAATTCCAATGATAAAATTGTATTAATATCAAATTACACGCAAACATTGGATATATTTGAAAAGCTATGTCGGAACAGAAAGTAATATTTATCCCTTTGTAATTATTATTAATATTCATGTTTATTTTATAAAAGAAAAATTTTTATATTTATAAATAAATAAAATTAAAAGGTATGGATGTCTAAGATTGGATGGTAGTATGGCGATAAAGAAAAGACAATCACTTGTTAGTCGATTCAATGATCCAAAAGGAAAGGAATTTGTTTTCCTATTGAGCAGCAAGGCTGGTGGTTGTGGTTTGAATCTCATAGGAGCTAACAGGCTTGTTTTATTCGATCCTGGTAAAGATTTTTTTTTTTTTTTGAAAATAAATAATATTACAATATTGATAATTAAATTATTTTATTAATAGATTGGAATCCTGCTTCTGATCAACAAGTAAAAATAAATGAATAAATAAATAAAATTTGATTTTTATTTGATTATTGATTTTTATTTATAGTCTAAATTAATCTTAATCGATTTTATTTATTAGGCATTGGCTAGAATTTGGAGAGACGGCCAAAAGAAAGAATGTAAGTATGGTTTTTTAATCAAAATATAGGATCACAATCTACACAGTCTTGAATCTTTTGTTGAGCGATTCTTTTTTTCTTCTAACCTCTCCCCTATGTTTCCTTTGATATAGGCTTTATATATCGATTTATAGCAACAGGAACCATTGAAGAAAAGATCTTTCAACGTCAATCACACAAACAATTACTCTCTTCATGTGTTGTTGATGAAGATGCAGATGTTGAACGTCACTTTTCAGCTGAATCGTTACGGCAATTATTTCAATTTGATCCAAACACTATGTGTGATACTCATAGCACCTTTAAATGTTATAGATGTGTTAAAGGAGTACAGAGGATAGCTAGAAACCCGGGTGAAACTATGAATTATGGTGATACAAGCTCGTAAGAATTTATTTTTATAACCATTGTTTTTTTTTCTCTCTCTTGACAGTTATAATAATATATTTTTTTACAATAGATGGGATCATTTTACTGGTGGCGATGATTTATTAAAAATTTACGATGAAATATTGAAACTTGAAACTGGCAAAGGAGCAGTTTCATATGCATTTCAATATAAATCTCATTAATTTGATTATTATTAATTTATTTATTGTATTTTGATTTAAAAATTTTTTGAGATAGTAACAGATGCTCATTATTATTATAAACTTAATAGTAATTGATTTATCTTTAAAGATATAATTGAGAATGTATTTAGGAAATTAAAAATTTCAAATTATATATAATATAAATTCATGCTAAAATAAATATATTGGAAAAAAAATTAGGCAGGAAAAGGTTCAAGAAGAATACAATACATTTATGTTACTGTAACTAGCCTACAAGAAAAAAAGAATTCTTTAAAAAAATAATACTAACCTCTTACATTGAACCTATCTATACTAATACCAAATACAAGTCCTACGTAGACAGCCTACAATAAAGTGTCTCGGGTGTAAGCCCCAACGTCGCGAACGACTCTTGTTGTTTTTCTGTAATATACTTCAAAAATATATTACAAGCTCCCGTTTACATCCCTAATGGTAGATTTGCAAGATGTACGATTAAAGATCTTTAAACCACCCAGATTTGACTTGATGTTTCCACAACATCAGCATGTTTTTCTAGTGTATCTTCAGTGCAGATGACAACCTTGAACCAAAGATACTTGCGGAATTCATTGGCAAAACGGGAATGTGACCAGGTCAACATTTACAGTTTTAGAGTGATAGTTTCGCACAACCATCTTGCTAATCTTTGATGACATTCATCCACAAGATTACGAATTTTCTTGTGGATCTAGAGCATGCACTGACGGATCTTATACTTCCTACACTTATTCGCTTCGCTATAAATAGAATTCCCTTCACCTTGGATTCTATCATAATACAAGCACAGGTATTCCCTTTTCCCCATTATATAATCACCACTTGGGTTATAGCCAGTTATGAAGGTTTTCGCTCCTAGATCAAGAGAAATGGTTCCAGCTCTTCTATTCTCATCAACCACCGAAAATTTAGGGTCTTGGTTATCTTAATTCCGAATGGTTTGAGGATACACAAGTAGAATTCATCAAGACGGTTCATGAGTCGTAGTTTATTTCAGGCATTTCTTCACTTGTTTCATATCTTTGAGAAATAAATAATGACCACTATTTCTTCTCCAGTCTCTTAATAAAATGGTGACTAATTGCCCTTTAGATCTGAATTTCAATTTAAAGCTTTTCCTTTTAATATTTGACTTGTAATTTTTTTAAAGCCATCCCTAATGTCATAGGCCTAGTGTCTTTAAATTTATTATTGATATAAATATTTTTCTATTTTTGTATGCGTGTAGTAATGTTGTTTGACGAAGTTTTAAAACTATTACGTCAAATTCGCTGTCATTAAGTCAAAATGACGCAAGTAAAATTGCTTTAAAGGCTAATAAATATATACAAAAAAAACTATAAATACTGTATTCCGAAGTCTTTTTTTTTGTGTATCCTGATCTTTCCTTTGTTTCATCCGTTATCCTCAAGGAGTCAAGTTTTTCTTTTGCTGAATATAAATTCAGCTCATTTACTGCTAAATTCGAACATTTCTTATAACCGTGATACATGATCGGGTAGATAAAATCATCGATTAAGGATTTGGTACTTTATTTACACAAAAGCTTTTTATAATTAATATTGATTGTCTTTATTTTAAGGATAACTTGGGTCTTCGCAGAGGAAAATATTAAATAATTAACACCTTAATAAAATAAAACTCTATGATAGAATCATCAAATAAAAACATTGTCTTTATTTTCTTTGTTTAAAGCGTTCTGATAAAAATAACTAGTGTAATTAAAAGGTAACAATTATGGGACTATGATAAAAGCCACGTTTATATGCTTTAGTGGGCAAGCAAGCGAGGTTAGGACTAACGTTGGTTAACTAGTAAGTGTGTTAACAGCGATTAGTAACGTAATTTGCTTTAATGAGTAAGCAAAGGTTAGGGTTAACTAGTGGATGTTAATGAAGTATCGTCCAAGGTTAATTGGAAATACTGGTGGTATTATTGTAATCGTAAATTAAACAAGCTACTTGCAAATAAATCAAAGCGAGCTACAACTCGGCCAATAAACGATCAATCACAAGTGAATAAAAGGAATTTATAGAAGCCTTTGAGCTTTGTAAAAGACCATCTTTACTTATTTATGGCTATCTAATACCATCAAGTGTGCTCACAGATTCGTCTAGTTGCAAGAAAGAGGAAATTCATAAATTAATTAATTGACAAGCACCGAATTAACTGACAAGAGTAGCCGAAAAGTTAAGCCATAATTAACCAAAATGATACCTTTATTATTCCAAAACATTATTATAAATTAGCTTTAATATTAGGATAAAATAAAAAAATAAATAAAAAGATAATGATAAATTTACAGTGGAGCAATTCATCAATTCTTTCTTCTACTATTATTACTAGAATTTAATGTTATTAATTAATTAACATTGTTAGTGGTAATTATTAATTAATAGCGCGATTTTTGTTCACCTTTGTTAACATTCTAGAGAAATCAAGATTATTCAACGAGCTATCATTATTTGTATAAATTTTAAAGCTTTTAGATTTAGCTATCTCTTGATCTAAGACTCTACTTTTATGATACACATCTGGATGTGATTTGTGTGCTTGTTGCAAAATATTGCTACCACTACTAGTAGTATTATTACCATTATCATTATTATTTTTAAAAATTTCGTCACGTTTATTTCTGGAAAATTTCTGAAACTCTACTAGTTAGTTTTTTTGATGGATCCACATCCCAACACTTCTGCATCATTTGCACATATCCTACAGGCATTCCAGGTAATGTTGGTGGCCGTAAATCTTCTGCACATATATCAAAAATCAAACGATGATTATGAGCTTTATCATCAAATGGTGGATGACCTGCAAATATTTCCCTCAACACTATAGATATCATATTCTTTGGTTTTTCTTTACCTCTAAGTAGCTCGGGTGCAACATATGATACAATTCCATAGACTTTATTTGATGACTTTTCATTAACTGGTCCACATAATCCAAAATCTGTAATATAACAACAACAACCTTTTACAATGGATAAATCGTTTTTATGTATGTCATCTAATGCATAGCATAAATGATAAAAGATTGTAATTCTGTCTTTTAATGTTAAATTTAAGTGGATTTTTTTGTAAATAATCTCTTAAATTTCCTTCTTAGCATAATTTCCATTATCTGGGAATTTAGTTATAACATGGCATTTAGCATTAAGTGATGCTTTAATTTTACAATAATTCATTTCCTGAAAATAAATATAAAATCAATTAGTATTATATACAGTATTGTTTATTTTGTTTTAAATAACAACCACTAATCTCATCAAGAAAGCTTTTTCCTGAATTACTTGAATCATTTAAACCTTTTAATACTATATCTTGCACTCCAAAATAAATAAATTCCTTTTTATTTTCAATACTTCCTTTTGTCCATTCCGCAGTAAAATTGAACTAAATTCACTTTGGTCAACTTTGTTACTTTTTTAAATTGCTCAAAAGGTATCTATTCTAAAATATGGTTTGGGAGAGATTATTACATTTGACATTGTTGAATAAAATCATCAATTATGTTATTTACAGATGTCCAAGTGGTGAAAAGACTCTGTAATTGTAATCTAATACAACCTTCACAGAACCTATCAGAGTATCTTGTTTGTTATATTCTTTTGATTTTCCCAATTTGTATGTTGCATTATTTAATTCAAAATCGTAAGTAAACTGTTCCCCACAATTTTCTTTTTCATTTTTAGAAAATTCCTTGTTTTTTCTTTTTGGCTAATGAAAAAAAAAATAATCTTTTCTATTTTTTCTATTAGAATTAGAATTAGCATTATTAAGTATTTCACTATAAATTTTACATGCAAGTTCCTTTCTTTCTAGTGATAATGATAATAATAGTTTATCATGCGATATTATATAAAAATATAAATTTGACTTGGTATTTGTTTTAACAAATGTGGAGATTTTTCGAGAATAACGATTACATTTTTTTCCTTTTTTTTTTTTGCGGAGGGGAAACAAAAAAATTTATCGTACACCATTTTTTATAGTTTCAAGTTTTTCTCTAACAGGATTGATTGATAAGGATGCAAATTGAAAACGAAAGTCACATTATTTGAACAACTTTATCATTACCAAACTCTAGTGATCGATTTACCGTGATTCAACAATAAAAGAATTTCAGCATTCTTTGAAGATTTAAAACTTACAAAACCTGTCTTATGTAAAGGTCGTTTCAAGTACCAATATTGATCAACCTATGTTGCTTCAAACTTGGATACTAAAGACAGTTCAAGCACACTATGAATATTATTGCGTATTACTATTATGCGTAGTTAACTTCAAAGTCAAAAAATTCGATTTAACACAATTAATATGTATGTAAAGACAATTTGATTATTTGCATTTTATTAATTTATAAAAATAAGGCATTTTTTATTTTGAAGAAAATATAAATAGTTTAATTAAGTAAAATTTCTAATTCGAATTATAACATTTTAAACTTCCCATGATAATTATTCTTGCATCATTGCAATATACATTCAATGATATAATAATTCCCGGAACACACATTTTTACATAATTTGGAATCCTATTTTATTGCTGCTCGTATCAAGCGTTTTTACTTACGTAAATTCGTTTTACTTACGCCAAGCGTTTTCAATTATGTCAAATGGTTTTACTTACGTCAAGGGCTTTTTATTTTAGTAAAATCGTCAAAATGGCCCTGGCGAGAAACTATTTTTAATCAATGCCTCAGTATGTCAATGACTAAAGTCAAAAGTTACATTATATATCATTAGCGCATAGTACCGATCCATTTTAATATTTAATTTTTCCTCCTCCAAATTAGGGTAAAGTCTAATTTTAAGAGCTTTTCCTGTTGGAGGTTTTTTGGAAGGGGAGGAAGGAGTAACATCCTCGACTTTAAAAGAAGATGAATAATAATAATAAGAGAAGATAAAGTTAAATTCTCATTTATAGAAGCAATTACATCTTTAAATTATGCAATATTCCATCTTGTAATTATTTAAATCTCTAGGTATTGATGGTTTAGCGAGTCAACTGTAATCCATGAATTGAGAGTTAGTTATTTTACAGTCATTCCATTAACTTGCGCACAGTAATTCGCTATTAGTTTTTGAGTGAATATACTTTTACATTAGAAGAAGTTGGTCGTGACAGCCAACTGAAGAAGATTTTCAATAAAAATTTACATTTTTAAAGATAAAATTTGCAAATAAGAAAAGAATTGTGCAAAAAGTAAATTAAAAACCATTAAATATCAATCAAAAGACAATAGTTTGCTAAGATCCTTCTTGTTCATTGATCAAAAAGGCAATAGTTCTTTATTGTTTGCTAAAATGTTTCTCAAAAAAGTAATGGTTATATTTTAAGAATTATTACCTTGTCGATAAATAATAAAGAACTATTACTTTTTTCGATTCATTAATGAGAGGGATCTCAACGTTGACATGATTTCACAATGACAAAAGGATAGATATATATGTATATTGACCTTTTCTTATTCCTCTTGTAAATTATTATTAAGTTCATGTTGGTCTCGACACAGCAAGAACAGAAAATCAAGTACAGTTAAAAGACCAGCCAGGAAGAAACGGAAGGCTAGAAAAGTTTTATGACCTTGGAAAAAATGAACATTTGCAATTAACACCCGAAAATAGAAATTCCTTCCCCAAAAATCAAGTTTAATAAAAGATTGATTTTTTCAACATGCCACGTTGACTTCTCTCTTCCTCCTTAGCACTACATCATGATCAATAGAGGCTATATATAGAGACTATATATACATTTAGATATATATATATATATATTATATACAACGAAACACTTTCGTGAAATCAACAATTAATTAACCCTGAATGTTAAAAAATAACAAAAGAAGAAATTTGGCGCCATAAGCCACCACTAAAATGTCCATCCCGTACGAAATAAATCTTCCTAAAAAGTATAATTGTATACATTTGGGAGTTAGCTCCCCAAACCTTCCAAAAAAAAAGGCAACCTATCTGTTTCTGGGGGTTCTGGAAAAACCAGTACAAGATTATGTTTTACGTCACAATTTACAAATATAAATAAAAATAAGTTTTCAAAGAAAAAAAAAAAGAAAAAAATTTCAATAATGGCTTCATCTCCTCCAACTAACAAAAATTTTGACGCTATATCAAGGCTTCATATGAGGGAACAAACAATTGATGAAATGTATGGTGTACCTGAAAATTTTCTTGAAATTGAAGTGCGAAATCCACAAACACATGGTATTTTTGAAACACTTTTTTTGAAGAAAACTTTAATCTCATAATTGATAATAATGATAATATATGCATGCATTTTAAATAATTAGGTTTTGGTCGTAAAATGTATACTGATTATGAAATTGTTTGTCGGGTTAATAACATTATTTAATTATATTTTATTTTAGGAACAATTAGTATTATAATGTGATATTAATCATTATTTCTATATATATACCATTCATAATTTTATTTAATTAGACAAATATTCCCGCATTTAAATTAAAACAATCATCTGTAAGAAGAAGATATAGTGATTTTGAATGGTTTCGTGATGTTCTTGAAAGAGAATCATCTCGTGTTAATATTCCACCATTACCAGGAAAAGTTTTCACTAATCGTTTTTCAGATGATGTTATTGAACATCGTAGAGAAGGACTGGAAAGATTTTTACAAATGTATGTATTTATTATTTATTTGCCAAAGCAAGCCTCTCTTTTTTGAAAACCTGACACGTTTTGCTTGTAATTTCTATTTCCTTAGGATTAATAATATTATTATGATTTGTTAATTGGTGAAATTTTGAATAGGAATTCAAGCGATTTGTATTAGGATCAAAAAAAAAAAAATGAAGTTATTGATTTATTTATTTTCCATGAATTAATTTTTTTATTTTTAGTGTCACAGGACATCCTCTTTTGCAAACCGGAAGTAAAGTATTATCTGCTTTTATTCAAGATCCCAACTTTAATCGTGAGAACTATAGTTACTAATAATAATGAGAATAATTATTAAAAGATTTATTTCCTCTTAATAATAATAATATAAGTAATATACGAATACCTATATACACATTTCTAAAGTTTTTTTTCTATATTTTGGCAATGACCTCTGAAGGATTATCTAGGGGAAAATATCAAAGTGTTTTTTTAGTACAATTTTGTTGTATATTATTATTTAATTATAATAAATTTTTTTTTGGTTTTTTGTAAAAAGATTCATTCAAATATTCAATCAAGAATTATATATTTGCAGAAAGAAAGGAGAATATTGCTAAAAAAGAATGAGATAAATGTGTTAAAAATTGTCAAGTACGTTTACATACAGTATTTTTAGAGATTCCTGAATCTATTACCATTCTTGATATTTCTTGGTATTTGTTAATGCTTTATGTGATATATTGACAATTCATCATAACCTAATATTATTTCTCTAAATCTTTCAAGAATACTGACAACTCCAATTACATCAAATTATCACATGTGACATTTTTATTTATTTAAATGTCTTCTTTTCTTAAAAGTAAATGTTTTATTTCTTTTGATGCATCCATTTTCAAGGTTTTTATCTCATTTCTTTTCATCAGCCAATTCCATATTTTCTTCATTTTTTAATTTTTAATAATGATTAAATTGATATTTAATTAGAATGTAATAATCATCATCAATTAGAAAATTTTAAAATCTTTATAAAAAAATTTTAATAATGAATAACCTACATTTCTTCAAAAATTGAAAAAAATTTTTCTAGCAAGTTCTAATTCTTTGGTCTTGTAATTTTGATTTTCTGTACACCAATAAATGAGCTATAAATATTTGTCACTAATGTATAATATTATAATGATAATAATTGTAAAATTAATTAGTTATAGGGCAGTCCACCTAGACTTGACATTTTTTTAAGGTATCCAAATTTCATTCAATCAACGACCTCTTGAAATTTTTTGGAATAATAATAGTAATGGCATGCAAAATGATTTTAAAGTGTTTTTCTGAAACTTTGGTATTTTTTATTATTAATATTAATATTCCCCAAAGATAATCTTATGAATTACAAGCAAGAAGAACCTATTAACATTCAGTTATCAAATTAAATATATGGGCATGGACAATAGAAACACACCAAACTCACCCAGGGTTAAATTTGAGTTAATAACACCTTTATATGCATTTCATCATGAAGGTTAGAAACTATACCACTTAATAAAATTTTGAGGAAAATCGCAAAACATAAAAAACCAAGAAATTGGTATCTTACTAAAATAGGTAATGATATGGTTCAAGTCATCTATAAATGTCGCAGTCCGAAATTTAAAATTTTAGAAGGTCTTTCTAATTTAAGTAATGAGTTTTCTTTTATTGGAAAGATTTTCTGTATCACGAAAAATTTTAAGCTGATCATCAGCCTTTTAGGGAATCACAAAGGAAGATCATTCCGAAAATTTTACAATTACATATTAATATATAAAATGATCTAACTTTGAAGCCTTATAATTCGAAACTTTTCTAATGAAATAAAAAAAGTGAACTGATGGAAATGAAGCTTAGATCTTTAGCTTTAATTCTATTGGTTTAATTTTTTCATTTTCTTTTCAATAAGGATTTATAAGCTAGGGGATGGGGCTAAACATGAATGCCACACTGTTCTCTATATTAATTTTATATTTTATTAATAAACGTTGAATAATTGGAAATAAAACACCCAGCGAACAAAAAATTTTGTGCAAATGTGACTCCAAAAAAAATCCAACTTCCCTATGATTTCAAAGTTATCTATTTGATTACTAATGTTAAACTCCAAAAACATGTCATTGATGATTAAATTGAACTTTATGCTGGTTTAGCCAAATATATCAAGAGAAAACAGCCAAACATTGATTTTCCCAATGCCAGGATTTCCTGTGACAATCAATCCATTATGATTTTTATCTTCAGTGATCAATTTCCATAAATCTGTATAACATTCGCAAATTATGAAACTGTGCCCAAAATCCTCACTATCAAAGATATTCGCACAATCTGGAAGGCAAATGAACTTGACTTCTGGCTAAATTACTAATAATAAAGCAGCTCTCCAGAATTTAATCATTCCAGCACTTCCAGAAAAAAAGCAAATGAAAAATCACTAAATTTTTTGTTAATTTCAATATTTTCAAGATTAAGGGAGTGTATGAATATTTCAATGAAAGGTACCTGCTTCATTTTCATCAGAAGAAGAAAATAACTGTTTCTTTTTCCTATGCATGTAATATACAATGAGTAGTAGAAGAAAATAAAGAGACAAATGGATAAAATAAAAACAAAGTAGCTGTAGTTGAATACATCAGTAATGAATACCTGATTAATATTCAATGGTGTAAGGAAATAGTGATGGTGAATAAATGAGAAGATGAGAGAAGAAATGGATAACAAGTTAATTAAAGTTGCAAACAGTATATCAAATGATCATTCAAATGGATAAGAAATGGAATGAGTGAGATAATTTTTTGTATATTTATCAAACAATGTATAACCCAACTTTTGCTTTGTGTGATCTTTATCACCTCTAATTTCTTTAATTTTCTTCTCTTTAATCGAACAATCTCTTTTGCTAATACTTTTGCCCTTTCCTTCCACTCTCTCCTAAAAAAAATGATTACATGAAATAATGGTGCACTATTGGACACTAAATGGGGGCTGTTCTAGGAAAACACGGGTTAGAACTGATTTTTTTTTTTTGAGATATTTGCAAAAACAATTTTTCAAA